GCTCAGACTGGGCTAAGGAGATGAGCTCTGCCAGTGGCAGCACAGCGCCCTTCCGGACAGCGCCATGAACCTGCGGCCCAAGCACGGATTCACCTCCTGACACTCTCTGTGCAGCCGCTGCGACCTCCTGACGCACCCCACGCACAGCCGCTGCGGCCTCCTGACGCACCCCACGCACAGCTGCTGCGGCCTCCTGACACTCTCCACGCACAGCTGCTGCGACCTCCTGACACTCTCCACGCACAGCTGCTGCAGCCTCCTGACACTCTCCACGCACAGCCGCTGCAGCCTCCTGACACTCTCCATGCACAGCCGCTGCGACCTCCTGACACACCCCACACACAGCTGCTGCGACCTCCTGACGCACCCCACGCACAGCTGCTGCGGCCTCCTGACGCACCCCACGCACAGCTGCTGCAGCCTCCTGACACTCTCCACGCACAGCTGCTGCGGCCTCCTGACGCACCCCACGCACAGCCGCTGCGGCCTCCTGACACTCTCCACGCACAGCTGCTGCGACCTCCTGACGCACCCCACGCACAGCTGCTAGGCTCCTTCTAGAATGAAAAGTCGCACTTTATCCTCCAAGGGCCTTTATATATTCTTGCCTGTTAAGGGCTTTTGTGCACAAGTTCTCCATTCTGCCAGTTTCACAGCTTTTTAAGTTTAAAATAACTGGAGCTTTCCTTTCATGGTAAGCAGAGTTACTGTGGAATTTTGCTGTCTTTAGCTGCATGTCAGAATCACCTAGCTCCAGGAATATAAGATACACATGCTACTAAAAGTATTTGTTTAAACCAAAAGGGAAACTTGCAGCATATACTTTTCAGTTCTAAGAAAGTAAGAACAGAGTTTGCTTACCTCACTCTCCCGTTAAAGACTTAAACACGGATGAGGTGTGGCTCCATGGAAGCCTGCCTAGTGTGTGCAAGGCCCTGGGTTCGGTGTTCAGTCCCTAGCAGAAGGCCCAGGGGTGTGTGTGTGTGTGATAACTGGGGATTGAACTCAGGACCTGGTACTGTCTCAAGGCTGGCACTTAGCACTTGAGTCACATCTCCATTGGAGATAAGAGTCTTAAGGACTTTCCTGCCTTGGCTGGCTTCATGCCCCCAGTCCTCAGACCTCAGCCTCCTGAGTGGCGAGGATCAGGTGTGAGCACCAGCGCCGGTTACACACACGCCTGAGTGTCGCAGTCTGTGCGTCCATCTCTGGAACACTGTCTTGGTCACTGCAGCGCTCACAACCTGCTCTGGGCCTGCGGTTTCTGGGGCCGGTGGAGAGCGTGGGGGCTCGTGCTGGGCGGCGTGGGCGTCCGTGCTGGGC